GTGATTACGCCCACTATGGCCAAGCTGTTGATGTAAATCCATCAATATGAGGGTAGCCACATGCTGATCTTTAGTGAGGAGCAGCGGATGTTTTGTGTCTTCTGGCAACGAACCCCGTATCAGCCGCCCTCCGACTCTCAGAAGCCCGTTATCCAACCATGGATCCAACTTATAGATGGCACTCCGTTTGCTCACTGTATCCTTTCCAGAAGACAAAGCAGAGATCTCCTCAGGGAATCTTTGCTGTTGGCAATAGCAGATTATAACCATCTCGGCTTCCATAAGATCCTCTGCCAACAAGATTTGTCCTCCTGTTGTACCTTTAGCTATTTGATTCCCTTGCACCAGGGCACTCTGCTTGTTGGCATCAGCAGTATCTGACTCTCTTCTCTTGCAAATCCTTCTCAACAACATCCTCTTTAACTTAAGCAACCAGGCAACTGATACTCGAAGTCTCCTCCAGTCTGAAAAATAAGCCATCAACCTATTTGTACTCTTCAGTGAACATTGAGTATTTACCACATTCACAAAAGCTTCCTTCTTAATCTCAAGGTCATCAAGCCCTACTGCAGTGTCCACCATATTTACAGGCCAATCCTCTTCTGGTTTGTACAGAAACTTGGGTCCTTCTATCCATCTGTTGTTCTTGATAAAATCTCCAGCCCTCCTTCCTCTGGATGCATCGTCAGCTGGATTCTCCTTTGTGCCAACATATCACCACTGTGATGTCTTTGTGGCTTCCCTGATGATGGAGACTCTGTTGGCAACAAAAGTATGAAAATGCTTGTCCTCATTCATGACATACTTGAGCACAGATGTGCTGTCTGTCCAGAAGACTGATTCCTGCAGCTGGAGCCTCAGCTCTTTTTTTAGCATCAGATCAACACGGACAGCAAGAACAGCTGCAGTTAGCTCCAAGCGGGGAACAGTGATGGCCTTTAAAGGTGTTACTCGGTCCTTGCCCATGAGGAAGGAAACATGGATGTCACCGTTGCTATTCTGGATTCTAAGGTAAGTGACTGTGCCATATCCTTGTTCGCTTGCATCTGAAAAATGATGAAGCTGCGCATGTATGTAGGACCCACAAATCATAGGCTTAACGCATATCTCAACCTTGAATTCAGAGAGTGCATTCAGTTCCTTCAACCACTGTGTCCAGCCACGCAAGATGTCATGGGGCACAGTCTCATCCCATCCAACGTACCTCCGGCATAGCTCCTGTAACATGATCTTAGCAGGTTGCACTACTGGTGCCAACAACCCAAGTGGATCGTATACTGAACTGGACACCGACAACATTCCACGTCTTGTGCAGGACTTCTCCTGAATCTCCATTTTGAACTTAAATGAGTCCGTTTCCGCACACCACAACAAACCAAGAGCTCTCTCAACAGGCAAGCTGTCCTTGTCCAGATCCAACTCCTTCCACTCTTTGGCTCGACACTCCTCAGGAAGGTTTTGCAGAACAATGCGCTTATTGCTAATCCATTTTGTCAGAGTAAAACCTCCTTGCTGACAGAGATTGGAAAGGTCTTGAACTAAAGAAACTGCTTCTTCTTCAGATGCCACACTCTTAAGGCAATCATGTACATAAAAATTCTCTTTGAGAGTTTGTACAACCGCCTCATGGAATTCACATTGATGATCATCTGCTGTTTTTCACAAAGCAAAGGCAGCGCAACTTGGAGAGGAGACAGCCCCAAAAAGATGGACAGTCATGCGAAACACTGACACTTCTTTTGTAAAATCTCCATTCTGCCACCACAAGAAACGGAGGAAATCCCGGTCCTCTTCTGCCACCCTAACCTGATGAAACATTGCCTGTATGTCTCCCATGACAGCTACCGACTCCTGCCTAAACCTTAGGAGAACACCAAGCAATGTACTTGTAAAATTGGGACCTTGCAGAAGCACTTGATTTAATGATATTGAACTGATGTGTCTCCTAGTATATGCTGGGAACTCTGTCTAAGTCCGTATATTCCTGCCAAGTCTGCTGACGAACGTCCTGATACGGCACAGAAGATGCCAAAGGAGGATCCACTGCTGATACTTTGTTTTCCATTTTACTACAAACAGCAGATTCAAACACCTCTGCCTCTGGATTCAAAATAATTGAGGATGCTTTCTGCCTTTCCCTTTCCAATTGAGAATGCATATTATAAGAGGCTTTAGAAACACTGTGACTTTCAGAGGCCTGTAAAACTGCAAGTTTAGCAGTAGATTCTGCTAGCATTGCATTCAACTCCAGTTGCTCCTTTTTCCTCTTTATCATCTGCTCTTGCTCCTCCAAAGTATGTTTTTCCTTTAACGCTGCCATACGAGATAAATTGAACAAGATCTTTGAACAAACCTCTGCATTCAGTAGTTTCCAGAATGTTATGTGCAACAGCTCTCCACCCTTCTCGGAGCTTGAAAGGCAATTTAGATATAATGACTCTCATATTGCTTGGCATATCTAACTCCTGAAGGTACTGCAGCTCCTCAGTGACATTGCAACAACCACGCCGAAAGAGAGCATAAGACTTCAAAGCATTGACATCATCCCCGAGCAGTGCAGCCTTATTTGCCTCAGCTATAACTCTGGCAGAAGAAACACTACTGCATGTACTCGCTTTACTTGAACGTTTACTACCAACATTTGAAATACTATCATGTGGATCAACACCATCAACCTTGTCATGCATGACCTCATTTAAATTAGGCCTAACTTCATTTTCAGTACATAATACCCACATTTTGACTTCAGAAATAAAATCATTATTCACAATCATTTTTGCTTTAACCCATATGTCATGTTTTTCCTTCTCACTTTCAGGTAAAATACCCATCAAAGTACCATGAATACCTTTTGCTTCATCACACAAATTTAAAAGATCATCAAAAGCACTTTGTACATCTTTTACATTTCTTTGTTGCATCAAACCTTGCATATTTTTTCTTAAATTAGTAGCTTTAGTTAACAGATTTTCTATCACTCTGCAACCTTTCAACCTTTGCAACAAATGCTTTAGGAGTTAATTTCACAACACGTTTTTCTTTGTCCATTTGAACATCAATGTCATTTAAAACATTCAACTGTGGCGTTTCCATAGGCCTGTGCTCACTTTCAGATGCCTCCATAATCCACAGAAAGTCAAAAGCAGGATCGAAGCGATAATGAAACTAGTTCGCAAAGTTAATTATTTTCTTTAACAACCAATGCATTTGGATTTACGTACCATAATGTGTGCACACAAAGTTAAATGGCCATTCAACAATAAGTAGCGCTACTAAACATACCTCTTCACGTTGGGCGCCAATGTTTGAACAAAGCTCCTCTGCTCACGTTTGTAGAGCATCTCCGGTGTCTTTCGTTGCGCTGATGGATGGTCCGTAACCCAGTAGGTTGCGTGTGTAACCCACAGATGAGAACGCTGCGACGTCCTCTCGTCGTGATTGCAGCTGATCTCGATGTAAATAAAGTCGATGCCAAGCTCTTCCAATAATCCACTTAATTCATTTCAACAAATAATGATGCTCCAACACCGCTAAACACAGCTCCTTTTAGGTCGATAAACAAGTTTTTTGACTAAATGTAAGCGGCCAAGTCTAGTACTTTAAGCAGCTGAGGGATGCTGGACGGTGCTAGTAAATGGACGCGCACGCTTGGATTACTATTAACTGGAATGTCCACACAAGATGTTAAAATGCTCATTGTTGTCGATTTATTTTACCGTTACTGGTCTTCATTTCCATATAGGCAAGAATCCAAACAAACAGTCAACAAATCCACCTATCCTTCACCTTTACAACGACTTGCATAGCGTGGAACAAATAGCAAAACAAAAGTGTTGCGTTTATAATTTTGTTCAGTGTAATTCAAAGTAAAGACAAAAATGGCTCTTACAGTTATGTCATTTTGATGATCAAAGATGAGATTGAAGGGCAAAAATGTTGACTACAGTGGGACCTTAAAAGGTTAGATAGTTATTTAATTATTGTCTAGCAGAAGACACTAGCCAGGTTTAAATCACAGGAGGGGAACGTTATACTAGAACTATTAGATTATGTTATTCTATGACATTAGTGATTATTTCACATATATAATTATCATTAAATCTATTAGGAAACCATGATAAACAGGTGAATGAACACCTGAATGTTCAGAATTTATGAATAAATGTATTTTACTTTCTTTTTTTTTTAGTTTGTCTTACACTTTTTAAATTATTTTTATTAAATCATGTAATATTTCCTGCTGTTATATGGTCATGTTACAACATGCCCCATTTTATTGGTCATGTTGCCACATTTCAATTACATTCTTTCGGGGTAAAAAAAGCATACATGGTATTAATTAAACAAGAGCACATATTTGTACTAGACATTTATTTAATTAATGTGGAAATAAAGACATACTAAGAAAGTCAAAAATTGTCAAGTTGTGCCCCACTCTCCCCAACATATCTACGCTACTGACTATGGATTTTTTTTTTTTTTTAGGAGAGCTGTTGGTTCAGTCAGGGAATCACTGTGTTTCCCTTCATCACATGGATCTATTACTACATGAACACAGAGCTGAGGAAACATTGGCCTCAACACTGTACAACTGCTCTCTGATCAGACAAAACACTCAAGAAACCACATCTGAGCTCTACATCAGCACAACATACAGATGAATAATGAACTTTATTACTGAAGTATTACAGCTACAATTAGTTAAAAAAAACATTACACATGTAAAGAGTTAAAAAGTAGTAGTACATACTACTAAAAAAAACAAACAAGTACAAAACACAGTATAAAACACAGAGCTCACGGTGCAAAACTATTAACAATGAATAACATCATTATACCAGTCGCAGCTTGATCAGTGTTGAAACACGTCATTTTGAGCAGTGACTGTATATTTATTTTTACAGTGCTTTTTACAATCCACGTTGTTCCAAAGCACTTTTGCAGAAAATCATGCTGATTACAGTCTGACTATTGAATCAGGCTGACTTTTCTCCTGATCTTCAGTCGATCTGTGATCTGTCAGCTGGCATTTGTCTAGACTTCACTGTGTTCTGCATTTAGGGCAAGAGATGCAATTTAAATAATATTTATATAACATCCTCATGCTTTTGGAGAATCTTGTAATATAAGTAAAAGTCTCCTGATGTTGCATGTCAGTTTTAATCTCAAATCAATGCAGTTTAAAAATTATACTAACCTGCACGCATTGTATGATGCCTGTGAGGTCAGAGAGAGAGTAAATATTAGTGGATCTGTTGACTCTAGTCATTGTCTGCTAAAAGATAAATTAAATAACTACTTATTCACCAAGATCTTAAATAGTTTCAATAGCTTAACTGCTGTCACGTGGACCTTTTTTGAATGATTTATTAGTAATTCCTTTTTATGTTTTTTTTTTCTTTTCAAGCGCAACACGCTGTAAAACATTTCAACCATTTCAATTTGAAACCTTTGAATTTATTTGCTGACATTGAAAGATCCCTGATATAGTCCAGTCAATGATCTGAATGAACCAGGGAGTCAATAAATATAAAGATTCATTAATGTTCACTGTGAGAAGTTCTCATTGACACTCATCAGATGCTTTTAGGATTTTAGCATTAAAAGGGTCTAGAGGAATTTTTAAGTGTTGTGACAGACATTGCAGATTATTAGGAGATTAATGAGTGTGTTCAGAAACACACACCACAATATGTGGTAAATAAATGATTGAATCAGACTTTAAACACTTTAACAGTGTTTTTATATTTATTTTTTATTTACTTACTTACTGAATGGAGCTTGAGACAAATGATTCAGAGATGTAAAATAAAGAAACACCAGCTCATATGATGTAAATGTAATGTAATGTTTTGTAATTGAAACAATTATGATTTATGCTCACCAGATGGAAATATTCCTGAAATCATCACAGAAATGACAAAGAAACATTCAGAAGGAAAGACAACAGACCTCAGATCTCCCACTGTACGAGCGCCATTAACTGACAAAAAATAAATGTGGATACATTTTTTTTTATATTATCATCACCGTTTTACGAGAAATTAATGCAATGTTAACAGTATTTTAGCACAGTAATTATTACAGGTAAATACAGACTCATTTAATTAATAATCAATTAATATTTAAAGTACATATTTGCTATAAACTTTGTGAATGCTGAAATATTTCTCTCAAACTGTATCACATATTGTTTAAAAAATTGTATGACATTCACTCACCTGTTTTCAGTATCAGTTCAGTCATCAGTGTAAAAGAATTCAGTAAAACAACACCAACTGATCCAAACACATACACAGTGACAACACGAGGAAAATCTGTAATGCAATTTTAGACATTAAACATGAACAAAACTACTGCATCAGTCTACCTTGAGATACACAAAAATGTTTAAAAATCTAATAATATTTTAAGAAATGTATTAATTTAGATCAAATTAGGCCACATTGAAAACAACTATAAACATGCACAAAAAAAACAAAATTCTACAAGATACATCAAATTATTTGTTCGCTTGATTGAAGTATTTCATTTATGATTGATTCCAGCCCTTCACTCTTCAACAGCTCATACGACACAAATTGCTTTAAAGTACTGTGTTTATATCAATTTATCATATTTTATTATGTTACAGTGTGAAACTATGATGTATGATCTGATAATTACTGCACTAATGAGATCGATCAGGTCACATCTGGAATTAAATTGACAAAAACTAAAATTAAAACAAGACACGGGACAGTTTTTTTTTTCCCAAAATTGACTCTCTTTTAAAGAAACACACAAATCTGCCTAATATTATCAGTACTGCATTGTTTAATATCATTAACTGTACATGTACTGACTGAGTGATCAAAGTAGATGATTAATACTGTACCCTGAGCAATAAAGCCATAATAGCCTGTAAACTTCATAACCGTCCACAGTATCTGCAGAAATACAGTCACACAGCCCCATCCAATAGCATCTGTGAAATGAAAGGAGTGAAATAAAGCATTACTTTTTTTTTCATTGAAGTGCCTCAGTTATGAAGAGTTTTGCTAACACACAGTAACTGGTTCAGCTGGTCTTCAATTTTCTCACTGTTTTCTGCAAAACTATTTTTATGATTATGGTGATTATGTGCTTTGGACCCTATTAATGGTGAAAGAGCTAAAATAAGTGGGAGACAAAGAGGAAGAGCAAAGCACATTTGTTTCTTATTAAATATGAGCAACATTAGTTGACCATGTTCTTGTTCATGCAATGACCATGAGGGAATCAATGACTTCGGAAGAATCTGAGCAATTTCACAGTCTCATCTTTTTTATTCACAGTTATAGAGAAGAAATCACACACCCGAGATTTGCCAAAGAAACTGTAAAGTAATCTACAGGGCTTTTAGATGAGAGAAACTTGTGTGCAGTAAATATTGTATCACATGCTGTGTACCATTAAACTTATAACTGTCAGATCGATTTGTTGCTCAGTGGTCAAGAAAAACTAATGAACTTCAGCATGAAAACAATTATAAAGATAAACCTATAAAGTAGTGCTGTCGAACGATTAATTGCGATTAATCGCATCCAAAATAAACGTTTTTGTTTACGTAATATATGTGTACTGTTTATTTATTATGTACAGTATATATAAATACACACATTTACAGTATATATTTTGAAAATATTTACATGTATATTTATTTATATTATTATATTTTATATTATATATAAATATATTTAATATATAAGCATAACATTTTTCTTAAATATATACATGCATGTGTGTGTATTTATATATACATAATAAATATACACAGTACACACAGATATATTATGTAAACAAAAACTTTTATTTTGGATGCGATTAATCGCGATTAATCGTTTGACAGAACTACTATAAAGATAAACCTGTATTTGCTAGATCAATGATGTGCTGTCATTCCAAGCATTTTTTTTTTTTATGTTACTGTACCTGTTTTATTTTCCAGTGTAAATATGTAAAGGCCGATCATCGCTGCAATAATCACTATTATGATGATTAACATCACTGTTCTTCTGACTGAAAGTGAACCTGAAAAAGATGAGAGTGTGAGAATGCTTTGATGACCATCTAAACTGGTTTGCTTTTTCTCTGGAGATTTCAACCTTGAGATTAAACTCAAACCATCAAAGATAGAGAGATGGTCTGTTATTGGCAGATGTGTGAATGATTATTCATTTATTCATCTGATCATCAGTGATGGTGAAGTTACTCAAAAACTGTAAATAAACAACATATTAATAATTACATTCTGAATATTTGATGACATGCCAAAATCTATCCTGAAAATGAAGCTGTACTGATATGTTTGTGTGTCTGCATTTGTGTTTAAATAAAGGTCAGAAAAAGAAAAACTGAAAAACTGATGCAGTTCAACAGCGATCATATCACAATTCATCAGATACTTACACATGAGTCTATCAAACCATCTGAAAAAACATCTGTCATTTGTCATAATCAGTAACACTGGTAAAATGACAACAATGATGAATCCTAAAAAACAGGAGAGTAATCATATTAACGGGTTAGTTCACCCAAAAAATGAAAATTAGCCCATGTTTTTCTCACCCTCAAGGCATCCTAGGTGAATATGACTTTCTGTTTCAGACGAATCCAATCGGAGTTATATTAAAAATGTTCCTTGCTCTTCCAAGTTTTATAATGGGAGTAGGTGGGTGTTTCTGTTCAACAGTCCAAACGTAGTCAAATAAAGCGCATTCATCCATAATAAAACGTGCCTCACATGGCTCCGAGGGGTGAATAAAGGCCTCCTGTAGCGAATCCATGTGTTTTTGTAAGAAAAATATCCATATGTAAAATGTTATAAATATTTTTTCTCACTTCTGCTGACTGTCATACCTGCAAGCCGTAAGGAAACTTTGCTTCCTTTGCTCCTGCAAACAAACTCGTGAGACTAGCATATCTCAGAGGCGCGCACGCACGACGCATACGTCCTACGTCATCCGCCAGAACGGCTTCTGCATACGTCAGATACCGGAAGTGAGAGAAAAGTGTTTATAACGTTTTAAATATGGATATTTTTCTGACAAAAATGCATCGATTCGCTACAGAAGGCCTTTATTCATGCCCCGGAGCTGCGTGAGGCACATTTTATTATGGATGTGCGTGCTTTATTTGACTATGTTTGGACTGTTGAACAAAAACACCCACCTACTCCCTTTCTAACGCTTGGAAGAGCAAGGAAAATGTTTTATATTACTCCAAATGAATTTGTCTGAAAGAAGAAAGTCATATACACCTGGGATGCCTTGAGGGTAAGTAAAGCATGGGCTAATTTTCATTTTGGGTGAACTAACCCTTTAATGTTGGATATTATAAAACAACAGATTAACAGCTAATTGCAGCAAATCCTTATGAATATCAGTCTCAGTGAATAATGAGTGTTTTAAAATGGCATTAGAGAAAAATGAACATGTTCAAATGTGTTGATCTGAGCCCTGAATAAAATGAACACAGATGAACTCAAATCATTATAAATATGAACTCACCTCCTCTGACAGATGCAAAAGTGAAGAACAAGAGGATGAATTGTAATGTAGGCAGAATATCAAAGATCGTATCAGCCACTAAGTCAAATATGTTAATTATCGTATTTATCTGTCCACTTTTCTTTCCAACCTCTGTAACTAAAACTAAATGAGAAACAACGAAGATCTGATTTGATTCAGTTTCAGAACAATAAAGAAAAAAATCAACAACAAAAGCAAACTGAGTGAATCTGCATGTGACTGAGAGGAATTTTACAAACATATATTATTATTATCAGGAGCATTCAAGTACATGATAACTGAATGAATCGCACACAAATACTTACGGTAAATGATTTTGCAAAGGCAGCACAGAAACATTATTAAAAACAGGAATGTTATCGCAGCTCTGTCAAATTCAGCATAATTCAGAAGTTTTTCCCAAACACTTGCAAAAAGAGCTGAAAGAGAGGAAGAGATTAAAAAGAAAATATTGTCAATTAACAGCCAAAATACAAATACAGGTCAAAATCATCTTGCTTTATTATAATTTACACTGGATAGTCTCTGTTATAATCTGAGGTTCAGTGGTTTATTTTCGGTCCATTTCTAATATTGCTGCTGTGACCTTTGTGCTGCTGAAATTAAATGTGTGTCATGACCACAAATCATGCTGAGGATTGCTTTAGTGGTGGATTTAGTTTAGTTTCAAATTAAGTTGAGTATGCAAACTGTTATTAAAAGATCATAAAAGTGATTCAGTACTATAAACATAGAGATTCAGCATTTAACACACAGGATCTACTATATACTAATAAATCATGTATCATGTAGAGCTGCTTAATATTTCTGCATGTTGTGATTTGTCATGTTATTGTTTCAGATTTGCTGCATAATAAAACAATTTTTCTGTTAATGTGCACTTTAAAGTGTTCATGATAAGGACAGTTGATTGACATTTTTATTTGCATACCTGAATAAACAACAACTGAGAGAACTAAATATTCTGCTAAATAACTGTATTTCAGAATCCATGTTTTAATGTTGCCTGTAAATGAAAAAGTATTTAATGATTAGAATCACAATATCACACACAACATCAGCAACATACAGAAACACAAATGCCACTAAAACAATATTTAATGAAAGTTTTAATCAATTTTCTTTTGGTAAATCACTCGCACAATTAATATTTTGGACATTATAATTAGTTTTCTGACCTCCTCTAATAAACAGATCAAATGAATTATACCTGTGAACTCGTTCACATATGGAAAAGCCCAGAGTAAAATGAGAGGCCTCAGAAAATAAAGAGCACAACAACAAACTGACTCATTCACAGATCCTGAAACAAAAACAGATATCATGAATTCAATGATATACAAACGCATACTGTGTATTGCTGAAAGAGTGTAATTATGATCATTGCAACACATTGAAAGCTTTTTTCTCATTGCAAACAAGAGCACACTTCTTGTAATTACGTAGCTATATTATTTATATTATCATATGAAGAGTTCATATGCAACTTATTGCTAATTGTTTCCGTTTTTAACCATTTTCAAATATCATGTTTTTTCATTGTGCATTCCAATTAATCTCAATCAAACTGCAGCTGGGTTATTTTGATTAAGTAAAAATAACTTTAAAAAAAGATAACTAACACAATGAAACACAATAAAAGCATGATAACATAATAAAAAACATGATTTTTGAACATTTAAAAAAAACGGAGTTATCTGTTTTTGCAAATAAACTCTTCATATAGTAATTAGAAACACTCACCTTCAGAAACACCCCACAAGACAAAAGCAAAGAACATGATGATATTTGGACAGATGACTAGAAACATCTGAAGATGGAAAAATGAATCTAGAGATAAAATACAAAATTATGTCTGAATGAAACTTTAGATACAGTATGTAATCATAAAAGCCCAAAATGAATGTTAATGTAACTTTTTCCTTACTTCAGATACTTTTCAGATAACGTCTTAAACCTCACATACATTTAACTATATTTCTGTAGGCAGAGCAGCAGTGCAGATCCAGAAATATTGTGGTTATTTTTACAGTACCAGAGTTTACTCAACCTTTTTTCTTGCTGTTTAAACCACAGACTTCTACAAGTTCTCAGTCGAGCGCAGTCAACTTTGCCTTGCCAATAGGCTAGATTTGACAGTTGCAGCCAGCAGATAATTTAAGCAAACACTGTAGTTCAAATAATTCATATTCACAGAAGCAAATTTAGTGCGTTTAGTCTGAGACGTTTCCAATCAATGTCAAATAGATGTTTAGAAGACATCTTTAAGATGTTTATGATTTAGAATGTATGTAAAACTGATGTCTTAAAGATGTCACAGCAGACGCTTTCCAGATGAAGCGATCTTTCACTGTCGGGCCAAAATCGGGCATGATAGTGCATGCCAGGGCTAGTCGTGTTTCCATTGTCACTTCTGGGGCTTGATTGTGCCTCGTTGGGGCTTCCTCAGGGCCAATGGCCAGGCATTTTCGGCCCGCCAATTACCTTGGTCCAAAGCGTGCCAACTGGGGCTTGAGGACCAAAACCCCATGTCATGAACAAAGACCAAGTTTATCTGAGTTAGGAGACTGTCGGCACCGCTGTTCATTCCCCATGTTTTCACATCAAGACACCAGCTGACATCAGCATTTTAAACATTTAAAACAGCAAGTATCTGAAATAACTTTTGCTATCCGATGGAAATTCCATTCATTGAATGTGGCTGAAATGTATTATATGTGACGCTAAAGGCTATGTATGCCAACCATTGGCATATAAATTGCTTTGCTGCTTTGGCTAAAAGGATAACAGTATAGTAAGACGAGAGACAGTGCTCAAACATCCTCAGATTATATTATTTTGTGGAATATTAACATAAATGCTCATTCTTTTTAAAGAAATTTGACGCAAACATATTATGAGGGTTTATCAGTATTTCCCTATTGTGTTCGCCTTTTGACTTAAATGGACTAATGGAGTTGTTTTGTGCATTTCCGTGATCACAACTAAATGGAGCAGCCACAACTGAACAAGTGTGTTCTCTTATGTAACGAACATGACAGAAGCAGACGTTTGGTCCTTACATGAAGACTTTAGAAAGACTCTGTGGCGAGGGGGGCGTGGTTCAGCGAGATCTGCATCGGGAGAGAGAGGCAGGAGACGAGCGGTGCGTAAGTAGGTCAAGCGCAAATGATAAACACCTGTGTCTCGTTTCAGTAATTGGTGTGGAGAGACCGGATAAAAGGGGCCACCTGGAGCATGTATGGAGAGGAGACTGACTGGGAACGCGAGCCACCCGGGGAGACGGGTTATTGAAGCACGAAGCCTATGTCGAGTTGTGTTATGAGTGATTTGACTGAGAGATTGAAAGCGCAGTGAGCATCGTTTTCTGTTGTGTGCACCCAGAGACTTGAAATAAAGCTCGCGTCCCAGTACGCCGACCCTGTCTTCTTCCTTCCACCCTCTTGAACCTTGTTACATTGGTGCCGAAACCCGGGAGGAAGGAGGGGCATGCTGCCAGAGATCCCTCGCTGCTGTGGTGAGTCCGCGGTGCCATCAAGCATGGCGGAGCAGTCTGCCGCCATGGAGGCTCGAGGCGGTGGGCTGGAGTGAGTTGCCGGAGGGTGTTTTGTGTGTGTGGCAGTCGTCCGCGAGGGGCTGCCGCTTTACTTTCGTTTTGTGTTTATTTTATTCAAGTTTGAAATGTTCGCCGGTTCCCGCCTCCTTCCCGATCTGCAAACTTTGTTACAGACTCCAGCATCAATATTTTTGCCTACATACCAATGATTTACAAAAAAAAAAAAAAGATTTGTCAAGTGCACATTAGTTATGCAATCAAACTAATATGTATAATTATTTAAAGTGAAGTCACTTAAAGTGAAGGGAGGCATGTTAAGGGCAGGTTGTTGTTAGCCCTGGCTCACACTGGCCCGGCAGTGGAAAAGTGACTATTGGTGTCAACCGTTCCTTTGTGCCACTTGGTGGTGATTTAGTGAACGTGTCACTTGGGACTAGGTTACCGCCATGGCCTTGTGACAGTAATAGCTTTTTGGTTTACTACTGTAGTTCATTTGTCTACAATAGCCTAGAGGCCACAGCCATTTCAGTGGCATGTGTTGGCACAGACATGCAAACACACAAACCCAAAGGTAAAAATGAGACCGGACATAAAGTGTGAATCGCTGAATTCATTCCGACACACACAACACCTTTTTGTATGGGTTGACTTACCAAGTAGACGCAGTTCCAAATTTAACTTGGCTAAGGACACAGAATCCTCCTGTCTGTAAACTTTACAGGTGTATCGTCCCTCATCTTCAGCTCTCAGATTGTCCAGACGGAGGGAGAAGTTTCCATGTTGAATCTGATCAGTAAAGAAATGAGCTCTATCATGATAATCCTGCTGCTGGGACTCTGCTCGACTCTCACCATCTTGATACAGATGAACCAGAGTCTCTGAGTCTGTTCTTCTCCATTCCACCTTCCGAATTTGCTCTAATAAACGATTGTTAACATAACAGGGCAGAACCCCAGAAGATCCCAGACGAACAACTGCTGGGCCAGAAGGAGTGCGCACAGTGAGCCCAGAAACTGAAAAGACATTTTGTTCATAATATGAAATTCTGTTGAAGGTTGAATGCCATTTTGTACATGAAGATGAACTATTGTGTCTAGAGACAAGGCAAAATCACTGTATTTCTGCATAATGCATTTGCTGTATATAACAAACACTAAATTAATAGTTTCCAACATTTTACAAATCAGAAATTTGGGTCAAACTTCTGATAATAAAGTGAAAACAAGAGTCACAACAGAGCAGCAGAAACATAAACTGCTGTTGGACATTTAGAAAAAAATCTGCTAATTGCTGTCAAAACTCACTGTGCTATATGCCACATTAAAACATACATTTATAGTTGATATACATTCCGGGTTGTCAGTTCGCAGAAAACAGTGCGCTGCAGCAATGAAAGACAAATTAAATGGATCACAGATAGCTGATTCTACATGACCTAAAAAGTCTTGGTGTACGTCTAAAGCATTACTTTATTATCAGGGAATGGAAAGAGAGTGAATTTGTGGAGCAGTGGCACATACTAGACATAATCAACCAAATGATAATCATGTACAGGTTAGGCTCAGTTTTCTTTTATTTTTCACTTACCTTGAAAAAGCAAAGAGTGATAATCGCCTAGAGAGAAAGAAAAACAAGGACAATTCAATAAAAGTTAATAAAAGCTTTAACCTGTCAACAGCTTAAATGTTCTATAATCATTATATAATAATTACTTTTTATTATTTGTTGTTTAGCTATTATAAAGGATAATTTTTGTGGCATTGCTGATCATTTATATTTCTTCTGTTTTTGTTGTTCTTTCAAACTGAACAAGTATCGCAGCCACAAAGAGTATCTAGACACTTAAGTCACTTTTAAAAATGACTAAATGTCAGTAGATAAAACAAAGCAAGTGTCATTTGTTGGTTTAAAAAAATATGCACAATTTTTAAAGGGGTGGTTGATTGTGATTTCACTTTTTTAACGTTAGTTAGTGTGTAATGTTGCTGTTTGAGCATAAACAATATCTGCAAAGTTACGACGCTGAAAGTTAAATGCAAACGGAGATATCGTCTTTTAAAATTATGGCAGTTTAATGCCTACAAAAATGGCTTGTAAGGACTACAACGAGTTACTTCACGGGTTCGTGATGTCACAAACCCCGATAAACCCCGCCCTCGGGAACATGCAGCAAAGGGGGCGAGGCCATGTTGTGCTGCTTTAGAGAAGAGGAAGAAAACTTGGCATGCACGAAAAAATCTATTCATATATGAATCACGATTCTGTCTTCTAATGATTCTAATGGATTCACAAGTTTCAAAATCAATGTTCTAAAGCAGCAATTCTTAATCCTGTTCCTCGTGTCCCCCTGCTCTGCAAATGCTCTGCATCTCTCTCTCTCTCTCTCTCTCTCTCTCTCTCTCTCTCTCTCATTCAGCTCAGCTCCAACAATGAACTGTTCCATTTATACACTTATTTTCACATAGCTATAAAAAGAGTTATAAATGGATGCATGTGCGGTTGCTGTATACTGTATTAAAGCTTTAAAGGGTCATGAAACCCCCTGTTTCAATTAGTTCTCACCACAGTTTTAAAAAACGCAAAAAAGTGGGCGCATGAGTGAGAATAACGCAATATCCGCCTTTGATCTCGTAGGTATCTGTTGTGCTTCGAGAGGGCAGAACTGTCTGTCTTGCTTGCACTTATTTCACTCCTCCCCTCACTGCAGCCGTCTATGGCAAGCCGTTTTAGCTTAAAATATTCCCAGCGTTACTCGTCATAATTGTATTTTTACTAGTAACAATTCAATAAGAGAGCTCTACAATTAAATTATCACTTGTAACAATGCCAATTAGAGAGCTCTCTAATTCAAATCTTACTAGTAACAGTTATAAATGTATCTATTCACTTACCCGTTTCCAAAATGATTTTAGTTGAAAATAAATGGTCCTGCTGACTGTAAACGGTACATGTATATTCTCCCTCATCTTTATCTCTCAGATCGTCCAGACGGAGGGAGAAGTTTCCTTGTTGAATCGGATCACTAAAGAAGTGAGCTCTATCAAGATAATCCTGCTGCGATCGACTCTCACCATCTTGATACAGATGAACCAGAGTCTCCGAGTCTGTTCTTCTCCATTCCACCTTCAGACCCTCCATTGATAAGAGTTCATCAACATAACAGGGCAAAATTGCTGAAGCTCCCAGAGGAACAAATGGTTGAATGAACCCTAAAAATGAAAAAAAAAATATATATATATATACATATATATATAAATAAATAAATAAAAATAAGACATTTTATTCTTATGTGAATTAAATTGAGGGAATAGTTGATTATTGATTGATTGATTGGTTATTGAATGGATAATTGATTGATCGCACATATGTGTATTTAGAAAAAGTGAAACAAATACACAGAGCTGTGTTTAGAGAGACACGACATTTCAGTCAAGGTTGAAATTAAATATTATTCTGTAATTCTTTAAATGCGTTACATTTGTTATGTGTGGTCACGTGTCTTTCAGCTGCTACTGGACAAATGTAAGTCGTGCAAGTTTTATGAAGAACTTAATTGCTCTTAGTTTGTACACTGGACTATGTGTGTATGAAAAAAAAAAGCTTTGACTTTGGCTTGTCAATTCATTGCTAGACAGCTTTGAAGTTTCAAATGAACTACAGCAAGTGATAATATGTATACCTTCATATGGTGATCTGCAGTAGATCAGGCAGCAGAGCACAAGTGCACATCCAGATGCAGAAATACAGAGAATCAACACCATTATGTGTGAAACAGAGAAACCTATTAAACACAGACATTAGTTACTGATTACAAGAGTTATGGGGTACATTGTGCTTGATATTGCCCTGAAAAGTAAATATGGTTTATTTGTGCAAATTTAGGCTCCAGTTATTGTGTATTTATTTATTTACTTATCAAATACTCACCCAGTCTCTCCAGTACAATAGTTGCATATGCTGAAAGTCCTCCAGCAAACACTTGACACGTGTAAACTCCTTTATCCTCAGTTCTGACACTCTTCAGTCTGAGAGAGAAGTTTCCTTTGCGGATTTCAGCAGTGAAGAACTCAACTCTGTCTCTGTATCGCTCATCTGATGAATCTGATAAAGACTTATTGTTTTGATACAGCAGAACCAGAATATCTTTATCTTTACCTGCTGACTGTAAACTTTACAGGTGTATCGTCCCTCGTCTTCAGCTGTCAGATTGTCCAGACGGAGGGAGAAGTTTCCATGTTGAATCTGATCAGTAAAGAAATGAGCTCTATCATGATAATGCTGCTCCTGGGACTCTGGTTGACTCTCACCATCTTGATACAGATGAACCAGAGACTCTGAGTCTGTTCGTCTCCATTCCACCTCCAGATCCTCCATTAGTAAGAGTTCATCAACATAACAGGGCAAAACCACTGAAGACCCCAGAGGAGCAACCAGAGGACCTGAGGGACTGCGCACAACTAACCCTATAAAGTGAATGAATAAATAAATAAATAATCTATTCATAATATAACGATTAAAAAGGAAATGATTTTTTTTCTGCTGTAAAATATTCAAAATCATAAAAATTTTAATGACTTAATTTATTCAATGAACACATGATTTGCCTTACAAACTGCAGTGAAGTCAGTTCACTAAATGTCAAGATGTGACATGTTTGGATGACCCCATCCAATCTTACAATATAATGTGACCACATCAAATAATGTTCTGCATAAGCAAATATGTAAAGCTAAAATAATTATTTATGACACTTTTAATCACATTAGGTCAATTACATTATCAAATGCTGTATGTGTCCAGATGAAGCACAGAATAACAGATCAAAGATAAAAGTGTAGTAAATCAGCATTAAATCTGTGAATATAATAGAATAGAATAGAATAGAATAGAATAGAACGTTTTACTGGTCAGGACTTTAGCAGCCTATATAACAAATATATAGGATACGGAAAGCATCAAATGCAAAAAACAAAGTAAATTAAGTATATAAGTTTTGCAACAACTAAACCAAGTCTTACCTTATGATGCTCTTGGCTGAATTTTAACAGAAAAATAAAGTAGTTACTCCATTATGGTGAAATGGTAATTGCAAAATGAGTCCTTGTTAAACAACAAAGAATAAAATACAGAAATAATTTTAAAAAAATCAAAACTATTAAATGAACGAAAAACATCTCAGGTTACATACTGGTATCGATAGCTTGATACAGTCTGGCATCAATAACAAATTGAGGACTACAGGTGAGAGAGTGATGCTGGGTTAAATACAACCCAGCGCTGGGTAAAATAGGCCTATGGACAAACCCAGCGATTGGGTTGTTTTGACCCAGCAGTTGGGTTACTGCCCAGAAGGTTGGGTTAAACATTTAACCCGTTGGTTGAAAACAACCCAATAGTTGGGTTTGTCCATATTTAACCCAGCATATTTTAGAGAGTGGAAATCTACATACAACTTCACCTATCTCTACTCCTAAGGATTACTAGAGGGGGGAAGCAACTCTGGATAACAAGCAGACCCATCTGAGTATAAAAGGTGACATCATGTAACAACATAGGACTGTCGTCAGCCAATCCGATTTGCATGATTTTACACATGCTTCATACAACAGGTTCCATGGGATTCGTCCCCAATAGTGTCAGCACATGATGCAACCTCAAGTCAACAAGAAACCCTGTAAATCTGCCTTTTTAAAAAGCAATCGCCTATACACCCCGCCTTAAGTAGCTAATCAAAAAATGTAAATGTGAATTTTGTTGTAAATACAGTCGTTTTTATCGGTTTTGCGGGATCATCTTAATGATGGGTGCTTTTATACTACTGTGGGCTCCTCCCAGCACTACACGGAAAACAATTGCGCTTGTGTATTAGGCCAGTGTTTCCCAACCGGGGTGCCGTCTGTCGAGAGCAGGGGTGCCGTGTAAAAAATAGATGCCACAAATGTGTTAACATTTCCAAAGGGTGCCGCGACTAAAAAAAGGTTGGGAAACACTGTATTAGGCTATCCTCTCTGTATGTGTGTTGATATTGTGAAATAATGCCTACTTAAATCACCTTTTTTAAACAAAACAACAACTGAATTCAAAATTCAATCTATAATACTTAAGGTGAGCTAAAGATGGTAGCTGCTCCACCCTATACACACCTGTCGCCCCTGATTAACTGTGAAGGAGATCATACTTTACGTACCATCAGCGATCATCAGCAGAACTGACATCCAAACACAGTTCGGTGGATGCATTTTCAAAAATGCGAAATTAAACAAAACGATCATATCTGCTGGCTTAAATGATCGCAGTTATTATTGCTGACGGACGCTGCTGTTCGGGAGATGCGGCAGACTGAACGCTTCCTTTCACTTTCATTTTACTTTCACTTATATATTGTCTCAGGTGCGGGGTCGAGTCCTAACCTAATGGACTATAATCATATAAGCAGTAGGCCTACAATATGCATCAGCGCAATACCTGTAGTAGGCTAGCTATATGATAACACTACTCAGTCCGAGGGAAAATAATCAAATTAGACATAATTCAAGGAGAAGTGAGAAACTGATTTGGTCTAGCAGCCATGTGTTACTACCACAGCAACGTTTTGGCAGATTTTAATGCAAAGGCTACCATAGTTGAACTATCGTTCCTGTAAAACAATGGTTACATTTTGTCCCACAAGCAGATTTGGCATGGCTGATTTTCTTCACTGCCATTATTTAAAATTAACACGTTCAAACCACCTGTCATTTTTAGCATTTAACAGTTAGAAATGAAAAAAAAGGTCCATTTAAAATCCAGGCATTGTGCTTGATTCATATCTTACAGGCTATAGCAATTCGATAATATAAATAATAATAATAATAATAATAGCCTAATATTTAAAAAATATTTAACGCAATTAACGCAGGGGCGGAGCTACGGTTGGCCACCCCACTCACAACTAGGCTAGCCTACTGCTTCTGTCTATTTTTTTCTTGACAAGAAGTGCATTTATTCAGTCGCAGCAAAATATAATCACAGAAAAACAGAGAAATGTACTGCAAAATTGTATGCTCTGTATATGTACATTTAAGTGAAGTGACATGTGGCCAAGTATGGTGACCCATACTCGGAATTAGTGCTCTGCATTTATCCCATCCAAAGTGCACACACACAGCAGTGAACACACACCGTGAACACACACCCGGAGCAGTGGGCAGCCATTTATTTGCTGCGGCGCCCGGGGAGCAGTTGGGGGTTCGGTGCCTTGCTCAAGGGCACCTCAGTCGTGGTATTGAAGGTGGGAGAGAGCGCTGTACATTCACTCCCCCCACCTACAATCCCTGCCGGTACGAGACTCGAACCCACAACCTTTGGGTTACGAGTCCGACTCTCTAACCATTAGGCCATTAGGTAATAATTTTATTAACATTTAAACAATACCAGAAGTTATGCTGTAGTGAAGAGATGGCAGATGTTTATCATTAAATTAATATTCTCAGTTAAAAGAAAAAGTTATATTGTATTCTATTGTTTACGGTGTTCAAAATATTATATTTTAATAAAAAAGCTTTTATACTGAATCATTTAGTTTTTAGAACATATGTCATAAAACAATATTACGAACCACTTTAATTTATTTGTATTTATAAAATCTATGTGATGTCTTACGTGTACCTGAAGGCCTTATTCCTCAGCTTGTCTTTGCTTTTGTGTCTTTCTGTGTAGAACAAATAATTAATAATTTAAATAAAAATGCCTGCATATTCATATAAATATGCTGCAAAAAGGAAAATAAGTGAATGACAACTATTCATAAGAACATTAAATGTTTAATACAACAAGGATTACAGAAAAATGAACAGCCGCAGCTTCTTTAACAGATCTCTCCATCAGAAGATATGTCTAAACATCAACGTTTTTTCTGAAATCCAAAACCAGTCAACTTTGTCATGTCAGCTCAGCAGACAGAGGAATTGTGATTTTAAAAATAAGTTGATTCAATAATGTCAGTTGCATCTTTCTTAATGATCTGTCTTCATTTGAGCAGCACAAATTCAGCACAGTGTTATTATATCAAGCAAAGACCACAGAGAATTACTGCTTTACAACATCATCCAGTGACACTGACAACCTTTAGATGAAGACATAAGCTTTTTTTCATCACCCTGTTTTTATGGCATTTTTGAAATATTGCATAAGAAATGAGTGATGGAAACACCAAATTTTAGAACAAAATTCCCTTAATTCGCAAAAAAAGTTTCTACACTCGCTGGAGGTGGATTTTGAATAGTACGAAAAAGAGTTATTGCGAATAATGGGAGATGGAAACGCATTTGCCGAATACATTCTGACGTGAGCATTAAACCCACGTGACTAATCGTCTGTTTCCGCTGATGGTGTTTTACTCACTTTTGGTTAGGTTAGCCTACCAATACCACCGTCATCTGCTTGAACAACTTCACAATCAGAAAGACAGCATTATACACACACAAGGAATTTTTCTTGGTGACAAGAGCTTCCAATGCAGAACTTGATGGAAACACCATCATTCTTTTGTTGCGAACTTTGAAAAGATTCACTTCACGTTTGGATGGAAACCCATGCTACTCACTTATGCCTCTAACTTGAGAATAGATACAGCATACAACAATATTCAACAACGAAATATAAAGAGCAAAGAAAAATCAGAAATGGAGAGTAATAAGATATAAAGAATAGAGTAAATATTTATGCATATGCATGAGAAACTATGAAACAAACATGGAAATAACAAATCAAGAAGAACACAGATGTATGTTCACTTTCTTG